TATATCTAGATATTTACGAGGAGACTCTATTAAGACGCTAAATTTTAGCGTAGAAACTTATTTCTAAATTATACGAGTAGATTATTTTAGTCTTAATAATAGATTATTTAATTTTAATAATAATATCGTAATAATAATAGACTATTTTAGTCTTAATAATAATATCGTAATAATAATAGACTATTTCAATCGTAATAATAATAGACTATTTTAGTCGTAATAATAATAGGCTATTTTAGTCGTAATAATAATAGACTATTTTAGTCGTAATAATAATAAACTATTTTAGTCGTAATAATAGACTATTTTAGTTATAATAATAATAGACTATTTTAGTCGTAATAATAATAGACTATTTTAGTCGTAATAATAATAATAATAGGCTATTTTAGCCTTAGAACGAATAGACTATCGCAGCCTAAGTCTTTTCTAACTCGATACGCTTTCGTTTAATATTACTCTATTATTAATATTATTTCGAGGCTAAATTAGAACGTTTAGTCTAATATATCGATTTATATAGCCTCTTATACGTCTTATATAAGAGCTTATTAGCTCTTTTCTTAATAGCCGTAATCGTAAATATCGCTCTCTCCTCTTTCTTCGAAAATTTTAGTCTTTCTTTCTTTCTCTTCTTCTTTAGAAGTATAATATAAATATTTTCTATAATTATATTCGATATAATATTCTAAATCTTAGTTAAGTATTAAAGATATTTAAGAAGCGATATAGAGAGATAAAGAATAGTTTATTTATCGAAAATAAGAATAACGTTTATAGCGATAATTCGTTCTTCGAGTAGCTTAATATAGATAAGATATTCGAATATCATTTCGAAACTAATATACTTTAGGGTATAGAATTCTTTAATAAGTCGTATAAATTCTTCGTTATCTATAAGTCGATAGAGTATAATTAATTAGAATAGTATTTAAAGATTATAGTTAAACTCGTTAATAATAAGTCGTTATTTAATAGAGTCGCTAACGATAGATATTATAACGTCGATAGCTTCTATAGAGAATTCTTTCTACTTAATTAAAGCTATTACGATTAATAACTCGAGAGAAGTCTCTTAAGTATACTTCTATAGCTTCTATTTACGTAATAGAATACGTATATTATAAGCTATTCGAAATAGTTATTCTTTTAAAGTTAACGAATAAATAACTTAAAGAATAAGTCGAGAATAGCGCGTTAAGATATAGTAATAGCGAGATATAATAGTAGAATAAGATACGATAGTAGAATAATATAATAGTAGCGAGATATAATAGTAGCGTTAGAATCGAGCTTATAATCTATTAGAATATCAGGTATATAATATATAAAACGAATAGATTAATTCTCTAAAATCTCTTCGAGACTAGATTTTAAATATAGTATAAAATTAGATAATTGAAAAATATAATGGCTAGAATACGCGGGAACTATATTTTAACAAATTCTAGTAATATAGCCACCGTTCCTCGACATCTTTACGACTTCGTATATATATACTTTATATATATATATCTCGTATATATAGTATTAACGTCGCTGTTAAGTAAAAAGTAGTAATATTAAAAATATTTAAAATATTTAAAATACTCGTGTAATTTAGAAATGAGTTCCCACGCTAAAATAGCGTCGGGAATCAGCTAATTAAGTTACTCAGTTCTCCGCAAAATCGCACTAAAACATGCCTTATTTCATAGAGAGAGGGGCTGCCACTGAGGCATACTCTCTCATCGCACTGTTTTTGAGAGATCTGATTGATCTTCTATTCGAGCCGGTTCTCCAGGGCGATCGAGACTCTTCAGGTATACTAGAATATCGTGAAAATCCTCGTTTCCGGCTCTGTTAATTGCTCTCAGCATTAAGGCGAAAGCAGATCTCTTATTCACCCCCGTTCTTCGCTTAATAATATCAAAACTTTCGCAATATAGTAGTCTACAGATAGCTATAGCTACTCTAAGCTCTAGACTAATTTCGATATCGTATGAAATTATTAAATATATAATATAGCTGAATTTGATAAAGTAAATAATAGGTAGAATAAACATAGATATTTACGAGGAGACTCGGCCAAGACGCTAAATTTTAGCGTGGGAACTTATTTCTAAATTATACGAGTATTTATTAAGTATATTAAGAGATTTAGCGTATATATAAAACTTTTAATATTACTTTTTATACGTTATTAATATATAGAATAACTTTTTTATTTTCTATTAAATTTTAGAGATTTTTTTTTTAAATTATAGAATAAAATCTGGGCTTTTAGATAAAAAAAGAATTTCTAAATTTAGTCTTATAATTATTAAAGCGTAAGAAATTTAAATATCGCTTATTAAAGATCGCTTATTAAATTTACTCGATAGCTCTAATTAAAAAAAATAGTTATAAATTTAATTTATAAACCTTTACTCGTATATTTATAATAAGATATTTTAAAAATTTAATATAAATATAATCTCTTATATAAAATAATAAAAATATTACGAAAAGAATAAAGAAATAAGTTAGAGTTACGATATAAGTAAATTTTTATTTAGAGTTATACGCTAAATACGCTAACTATATTAAGTTCGCGTATCGATAATTATCGCTTAAATCGTTAGTCTCTAAGAAGAAGATCGTTATTACTCGCTAAGATATATTCGATAATTATTCGAAGGTAATAAATGCGATTTCTATTATTATTATTAATACTACCACTTTATAACTACTATATAATCTATACTTAATAATTTAGATTCATTCTATAGACTCTATTTAATTCTTTCTATTATAAAATCGTTCTATATAGTTTCCTTTATAATATAAAGAGACTTTATATATAACGTATTCTCCTCTAATCTTTAATACTCTCTTACTATTACTACTAATCTCTCTACTAAAATATCTTTTCTAAATATCGAAATAATATATAAGATACTATCGAATAATATTTAAATCTTATTAGTTATAATTATCTTATAGTAATTTTAATAAAGTAGTAATCGAGATAGAAGACGATCGAGATCGAATATCTTCTCTATCTTCTTTAACTAATTCTATTACTATTAGCTTAAGAAACTTCTAATACTTCTAATAAAATATTTCTATTAATTCATAAAGCTTAAAGATATTCGAAAGATTTTTATTTAAATATTAATAAAGTAGAGATATTTAATTTCGATTATAAGCTCGCTAAGAAGAATATATAATTACTAAAGTATTAAATTAATTAATTTTTCTTATATACTTATTATAGTAGTAGAAAAGCTTAAGAACTTAAAACTTCTTCTCTTATATATTCTAATTATTCTCTTTAAAAGTAGATAGAACTATATAATTATTTATACTAATTTTATTAAAATATTTTCTCTTTTTAAAAATAGAGTTATTAATTTCTCTTATATTATATATAATAATTAGAGCTAGAATAAAATTATTATCTTATTAAATTATTATTAATATATTATTCTAAACTACTATAGCGAGAACTTTATATAAAATATCTCTTATAAAGACTTATTTTATCTCTATAAGTAATTTTAAGAGATTTAATTAATTTAACTTTATAATTTTATATATTATAATTTCTCTATCTTTTAAAGCTATAGCTAGCTTAAATTCGATAAAATAATTATTTATAAAGAGAATAGAGTTATAAGATAATATATTAATAATTAATTTAAATACTATAGCTGTAAATCTGAAAAGTTTCTTTTCATATAATTTCCATAAGATATTCGCTAATTTTATTAAATCGTTTAATTTTATAGCACGATTTTTTAGCACGATATTTAGTCTATTAAGTAGACTTTATTTATATTTAATTTTTTTCGTTAGTTCTATTAGTTTAGTAACTTCAAAAAATTTTTCTAACTTTAAAAATTTTTTTTATTCACTCTTATTAAATTTTATTTATTTTTTTTTTTTTTTATATATTTTTTTTTTTTTTTTTAAAAAAAATATTTTTTTTTTTATATTTTTTTTATTTTTTTTTATATTTTTATATAATTATTTTAATTTTTTTTTTTTTTTAATTTTTTTTTTTTTTTTAAATTTAAATTTTATATTTTTATTTTTAAATATTAAAATTTTATATTTTATTATTTATTTTTTTTTTTTTTTTTTTTTTTTTTTTTTTATAATTAAAAAATAAAAAAAAAAAAAAAAAAATATTAAAAAAAATAAAAAAAAAAAAAATTTAATAAAATTAATTTATAAAAATTATAATTTTTTTTTTTTTTTAAAAACAACAAAAAAAAACAAATTATAAATTTAAAATTTTAATTTTAATTTTTTTATTTTTATATATTTTTTAAATATATTTTTTTTTTTTTTTTTTTAGATCTTATATAGAAGAATATTAGATATAATTATAAATATAGCCTTTATCGTTAATTACGAAAAACTTTATTTTTTTTTTTAATTAACTTATCTAGAGCTATTATAAAATAATATATATATTCTATCTTCTTAATTATATATTTATTAATTATAATATAAGAACTCGAGGTATAAAGCTTCTTTTAATTACTTTATATCTTACTTATAAAAAACTAGATTATTAATTTAATTTATAGATTCTTTTTACTCGTATATTTATAATAAGATATTTCTAAAAATTTAATATAAATATAATCTCTTATATAAAATAATAAAAATATTACGAAAAGAATAAAAAAATAAGTTAGAGTTACGATATGAGTAAAGTTTTTATTTAGAGTTATATCGCTAAATACGCTAACTATATTAAGTTCGCGTGCCGACAGTCCTAAAAGACGCTTATACCGTTTTGAATTCTGGGGAGAAGGCCGCTGCTGTTAAGAGGGGAGGCCGGGTCCGTAGCGCCGGCAGAAAGTTCCCCAAGCGCCATGATTGCCTTAAGTAAGGATACGCCCTACCGGCGTTCATTCATCTTGCATACCATCGTGCTTTGAATGGTATTCTAGAGGTAATTCGACCACATGTACCCCATACAGTAACAATGAACCTGGCAGCGTCTGGCCAAAGCTTCACGAGGCATGGGCGGGCATACTCTGACTGCGCGATCGTTGAATCTCCATGAAGGTCGATTCAATTGGTGCGTAGGATCAATGTCGAAAGATATTTGGAAGACATTTGAAGTAAAGCTGACTAGTACGACAGGGTCTTCCTCTTCTGGTATATCGTCTCCTCTGCATTGTAAGTGCTCACGCCCAACATTTGAAGAACTGAGATTTGACTTCCTCTGCAGAGCTATCTTGTTCCTCTTCTATTTCAATCGCCTCTTCGCTAGTTTTGTCTCATGTGGGATCAGAGCATATACCTGGCACCGCTATCGTGTGTACATTGATATTCAGGCGCTTCAGTTCTCACTTCTGGCGGGTCGCATATTTTTCAAAGGCTTGCGCTACCACGGTCAAAACGAGTCCATTTTAATCCATGATGGCTATATCACATGGAGATATTGGCTACGTCATGTCCAGGAGCTTGACTGCAAGAACTCGAATGGAGGATCTAAGGCACCTGCGCCCTCAGATAACGACTTTAATCCCGCTGATGGAGGAAGGACCAACGGAGGGGTAGAGGAGAATGGCGGGAATGGAAGGTCTCGGCGGCTGCCCTGCAGAGTGCTTGTGAAAAGTCGAGGTGTAGAATGGTTCATCTACAATCGGAGTCCAGCGTATGACGCCATCCTTCAAAGCATGAAAAGTCAAGAAGAATTGGACCACACCAGTGCTAGTCCCTCGGCCCAAAGGCCGGCGGAAACAAGCAAGCCGGATTCGACCCCCAAGTACCGCAACAGCGCTGACTCGTTCCATGAAGAGGACGCGCTCTCATCGGTTGAGCAAAAGGAGGAAAAGGAGGGCGAAGATGATGACACTGTTGCTGATTCGGATTCGAAATCAATAATTACCGACAGCTCTGCTCATTATTCGACTACGACATCTAGCGCGCTGCCCGGTTTACTGCATATGCTTCCAGTTGGAATTGAATGTAACAAAGGCGCTGTTGTAATGGGAAACCGGAACACGCGTTCGATCCTCACCGCCAAGTTTGACAGCGCCGCTGGGCAAATCGACGCTCGGACTTCCGGAGCTGTTGATCAGTACAAACAGGTGTTTGATTTCGCCTTCTCTCATCCCGTGATTGAGTTCAAGCACAATAAAGACTTCACGGAGTCGCAGACGAGCGAAGGAGCTAAAACATTTTCGAGGAGCAGTAGAGCGTTCGAGGAAAAAACCCAATGGTTTAGACGTGTAGATCACAGGAGGCGATTTCGCGACATTTGGATCTCATTTCGTGACCTTTTGCCTTATCACAGAGGTTCTGTGGAGTCACTGATTCATCCGCACCCAAAGTCAGGCGGCGCTCACAAATCGAGTGACGACGATGCTGGCGTCTTCGGGCAGAATCGGTGGCTGGGACTTACTCGATATCTGGACGATGATGATGACCTGATCGAACAGGAACGTTGGAAAGCAATCGACTATGGCGCATTTCCTACTATCGTTGACTCGCCGCAAATTTCGATGAGTATTTATTGGGATGTTCCTGGTCTGGTTCCGCACCTAGAGAGTACTCGTAATCCTCCACCTGGGTTCGAGACAGACATCAATGGGGACACTCCCCCTGACTGGGGTATAGAGCTGAAGGTTCGAGGGGGGAATATTAGCTACGGTCCGTGGGCTGATAGACAGCGCGCGGATTTGCAGGCAGTATTCTTTCCGACGCTCTACAAAGATGCTGTCCCCGCCGCAAAGCTACGACCCGGACAGCCTCGAGTTAGCACTGTGCTGAAAGTTGTGCTCGAGATAGAGGAACAGACTACACTCCGAGTGCCAACGCGAGAAGATTCCAAAGACTGGAAATGGAAAGGACGTACAGTCGCCTCAAGTGCGGCGGAGGCCAAACGAAAGAAAATGAAAGGCCATGCCAAGACCAATAAGGGCATGAAAGCGAGCCTTTCTCCGGAAGCACGCCCTTTTGGCTGGCTAGACATTAAAGTCCTGCCTGATTCAACAGTCAGTTTCGCTATGGATCTGGTGGCTAGTTCCAGTGGATACATGAATCACGTCGATTTAGATCTCAAAGGAGTTGAAATGTCGTCAAGTGTCAATCACGGCCTGCTTTGGCGGTCCCAGTCGCAGGTCGTATCCTGTGATCTTTCCAATCCTTTGCGCTGGAATGCTTTGCGTCAGTGGCACGTGGATATTAAAGGCAATGGCTTAGAGCTATTTATGCTCCGTGATCATATGTTCTTATTGACTGACCTCGTCAACGACTGGACTTCCGGTCCTCTGGGAGAGTTTCATACCTTCGTTCCGTTCGAATACTCCATTAGTCTACGTTTCGCTGATTTCAAGCTATATCTCAATGCTAATGATTCAAACATAGTCAACAACCCATCAGATCTCGATGACAACACTTTCGTTATCGTTTGGGGTCAGAAACTGAAAGCTGATCTCGTGATTCCCTCGAAGAATTTCCGTCCTGCAAAAAATCGAGTAACATTCAACATTGTGGCTACGGACGGAGGATTCGAGCTTCGGACCCCACCGCGCAATACGCAGCACACCTACCTAGATAGTCCAGATGTCGCCACTCTGAAGGATCTCAAGATAGATGGATCGTATAATTACTTCACCACTACGTCACCCAGCTTGACGGACATTCTTCTCCTAAATGTGCTTGGTGTAGCGCCCCAGTTTGATCTGTATGGTTTCCTGATACGATACCTCATGAAGATCAAAGACAACTACTTCGGCGACGACATACATTTTCGCACTTTAGAAGAGTATCAGAGTCAGATCAATACAACCGAAGGAAAGAATTTGGATGATCCAGCTTCTGGACAGCACAGCCGCCTCAGCAACGACCTAGATGTTATTCTGGGTGTTGCTGCAGAGGATTCATGTGTCCTTCTCCCCGCCCATCTCTACTCGTCCGAAAGGAATGTTAGGCTCGAGATCCCATCGATAGTCGCGGATCTTCGTATCACAAATTATTACATGGATCTTGCCATCACGTTTAGCCCTATTGCAATCTCGCACACGTCTCTTTTTGGCCTTCGCCAACCCGATCCTGAAGCCTATTCGAGTACACAAGTGTTCATCGATGGTCTTGAGGTCTTTGGTCATCGACTGTTCGGCTTGCCTCCTACTGAGCCAACATATGTCTGCAATTGGGACTTTGACATTGGATACGTACGAGGTGAATGTACGGTCGACTTCTTGCACTGTCTCTCAATGGCACTCAGATGTTTCACCTTGTCGTTCGACGACGCTGAGAATGCCCTGCCCCCTTTGAATCCACCAACAATACACGACGTTACATTCTTGCGTGCTCGAGTACGACCGATCCTCGTTGGACTACGGATCGACCAAACGGCCTTCCTTCTGAGTACTCAAGAGGTGAAATTTGAATACAATGACTGGGCCAGGTCACAGTTCTCCGATCGCTTGTACGTCCTTGTGCCAGATTTGGCTCTGAGTGTAATGGATGCACATGGGGTGTCAGTCGACCGAGGCCTCCAGAGATCCGTCGCCAATACTCATGCATACGTGAAATTGACATTGGAAATGAGTAAAGTCAAGCGTAAACTGGACTTCAATGCGGACCGTCACCTGCAACAAAACCACATTGCTCTGCACGATTCAAGAACACATCGAGTTCCGTGGCTGGTCCTCGAACAGGACCCACCTGGTGCTTCGAGCAGTCGACCGACAAAGCATAGGCCACCCGCAATGACGTTTCCCTCCATGCCCGAACCAGTATCAACACCAGTTGGTATGACGGCTGATGAAGATTCCACAATATCGGGCACAGGCTTGTCGAAAAAAGCGTCTAGCCGTAGAGTTTCATTCCTAAGCACAGCCTCGTCAAGACAAGGCATGGTTGGTATACGCGATAGTGGCAATAGAACATTGCATCGCCAGGAACGGCATGCAAGAAGTCCGCATTTACGCTCCCAGGGCACGGAATATCATCCCACAGTCGAAAGCCGGGTGAGTAAGGAACCTATTTCACCCCTAGGACAGCAAGACTCTCACATCGACTCTTCAGTGAAGCAAGCGTATTTCGCTCGCTCGGGGCTGGCTTTCACTAGTCCGTACAGACAACCATATTTCCCTCTCCTTGCGGTACAACCAGACATTAGCGATGTACCAATTTCCCCGAAGCACTTGCCCTTTGACGCGTTCGTGACCGATAGCAATGCGTCGAACATTCCGAGGCCTCACATCTCCGATCAAGGGACGGAACAGTCCAGCTTCATGGTGAATTTAGGCCGAGGCGTTCAGACTTTATGTACACCTAAAGCACTTCTGGTGGTGACTCAGTTGCTTGCACGGTTTCAGACTACCGACGTAGTGGCCCTTTTAGACACGTTGCAGCTTGATGCAATGACAGACGTTTTGAGTGCCGAAGCAAAATGCACGGAAGGCGTCCACATCTCGGACGTCAGGATTTTTGTGCCTTCGGTAGGTGTGAGATTTATCAGCACAAACAACAGCAAGCCAAATGATACCAAGCGCAATGAGCGTTACGATGTGATCCTAGAGAACCTTGCTGTGACCGCAAGATCCTCCGAAAACTTCTCTAACATCACGCCGTCTTCCCTGGGTTCTCAATCTTCCTTCCACATAGTCCTTGATAAAATGATCTGCTCAGCGAGGGAATCCAGGAGCAACAACGCAGAAGATCAAGCCATCATAAGCCTTTCTATTCGGGACCCAGTGGCGTGGATGTGGCGTGGCACGAGCTCAGCTGCTGAATTGCAGTTCCAGACTCTTGAGATAGAGAGCGCAAGCAGGAAAGTCAATTACATCTCATCGCTAGTCCAGCAGACTTTAGTCATGTCCGAGGACTTCGTCCAGCGTTTCAGAAAGATCGAGACCGAGCGAAAGTCCCGCCTTCGGCTACTGGTGCTACTACTTACTGTTGAGGGAAAAGATGTCCCAGATCCGCCATTCCTGACTAGCGCTTCATCTGTATTGCGTAGCGCGTCTCACCATCTTAGGACTAGCGACTCCTGGAAAATGATGTCTCGTCTTCGCTATCTACATTGTTGTCTGCCAGCTCATTCTCGAGACAAGATCCACGCGCAATGTGTCCATAAATTGGCTTCGTGCCCGGAGGATGCTGGAAGTCGGGTCATCGCGAGCTTCGACCACTGGCGTACGTGGGACTTGGCTCATGTACGATCAAGTCTCTTGATGCAAAAAGTGTTCGGTCAGTTGTTGACTTCACCTGCACGAGAGATCCAAAAGCCGGTGCCTACCAAAGCTACTCTTCGGGCAGGAGCTATCCAGATCCTTGTCGAGCCAGGGCCGAGTCAAAATAAAGTGGCCTTCGAAGAACTTATCATCGGCGCTGCTCTACACCAACCCAATATACCCCAAGGTGTCTCTTCTACGTTGCAGCCGTCACCTTCGACAAGGTCAACGATTCAAGTACACTGTGCCAAGGTCGCCGTCCGTCTACATTGGGCTTTGTTGGAGCTTATTGAAGACCTGATAGAAACTATTCAAATTACACAGATCCCATATCGGAAGAACACAAGCAGCCTTGAAGCAGCTTCTCGTTTACCACCCCAAGACTCGTGCTTGCACCTTGCAGTGTCCTCCGATGTCAGCATTCTCACTTTGGATTCGAATAATCTTAATATAATATCGCTCTGCCAAGGCCTCCGCGTCTCCATCGTCTCCTTGCAAGAAGGCGCTGACTCGAGAATATCGCTATTAAGTGTACTCGTGGATGCCGATGCAGCGACCTCGGAGATCCAGCGTCGGTCTACGAAGTTGACTCTATACAAGCTGCGACAGCCAAAAGTCTTTGGCTCTAAAGATGGCGCAATGGACAGAACCGCCGAGAAACCGTGGAAAGTTGTTGGCTCCGGCGAAGACGTGACTTTCTCAATTTTGGCGAATCCGTTAGAGCTGATCGAGGTTGCCGACAGCGTCTTGAAACACGAAGTGGCACACATCACCCAATGGGCGAAATCTCTACAGCTTGCTAGTTCTCCTGTCCAATCGAAATTCGCCCACCGATATCCTGCGGGCCTTCCCCAAGTCCATGTCGCTTTGTCCCTTGACTCTTATTTGATAAGTCTTAATATGTTGCCATCTTTGACGTATCAAATTCGTGGTGAAGGAGCTCGCACTTCGCTCAGATCAGCGCTGCGTGGAAGATATGACTCTGTACTTGATATCGATCTGAAGCAGCATTTCCACGTCTTCAAATCCTCGGTGAACGATCTGTCGAATGAGCTGTCCACTTTGCACATGCCCCCGGTCAACGTTCGTCTTAGTATTAATCTAGACCCAAGCCAGAGGTCAGTGGTATTCAGTGCTCTGGTGGAAAGCATTGTCTTTAATGCATCGGCTGTGCATGCCATACTCACTGCTGTCAATCGACCGGAAATGGCCAGCCTTGGAGAGAACATAAGGGAGGGCGCCTCGTCAATTCAAGATCGTTATAAGCAAATCTTCGGCACAACGAAGTCTCGCAATGAAATCTTGTCAACGGAGCCATTCCTGTACAATGCGTATGTTACTTTATTGAGTCTGGCAGTACAAGCCAATACATCAGACGCTTTGTCTGCTGCACCGGGAGCCCAATTGCAGATAACGATGGGCCGTATATCACTAAAAACAACGAACAGAAATTTGGGCCATGGAGCCGTAATGAGGTTTCCCGAAGCGGAGGTTCAATTCAAAGGCATACAGCTGAAGCTCTTGCGCTTTGACAATGACGAAGTACGTGCGTGTGGTAATGTAGCAATTGGGGCTGTCATGAGAAGCACGTCGAAGCCAAATGACCAAGGTGAATTCGTCCGTGCCTTCCAAATCCAAAGTAGCAGCCTCCAGATCAATGTGTATACCGATACCGCTTCTGTTGCAGTGGCCATACTTGCTAATTTGCAAGATACCCTCAAGACTGTGGATTTGTCACATGAAGTCCAAAATCTGAGAAGGTTGAGGCATGCAAGACTGCGCAGGAATGCTGCAGATCATGGTACTGTCCGGAAAGACGAACGTCATGGTAATGCGGAAAGGGCTGCTCTTTTCAGTTCGATGTATTCTTTGGAGATGACAAACATTTGTGTCGCGTGGAAGATCGGAAGCTCTATACCCATTTCTCCAGGTCGGGAGCCTGAGGATCTTATCCTTTCCTTCGCCAAAATTGACCTTTCCACCAAGAAGGACAATGCGGCTCGCCTGCTCATTCAGGACTTTCAGCTGCAAATGGTCCCTCATTCAAAATCATCGACGGTTCGATCCCAAAACTCAGCCCTTCTGCCAGAAGTAGTCTTCAACGTGGCCTACGTATCCACAGGACAAGACCGCAGACTAGCGTTCCAAGCTGCCGGCAAATCACTGGACCTTCGGCTAACATCCCATTTCATTCTGCCGGCGAGCGATCTGCGACGTTCTATTGCCTTGTCAATTCAGCAAGTGCGAACAGCGACGTCCGATTGGAATGCATCTGCTACTACGGGTGGCGGTCAGAGAAAGGCGTTGTTGAGCGACAAAAAGCTTGCTTCACTTCTTGTAGATGCCGATTTTGCAGGTGCCGTGGTATTTGTACAAGGCCGAAGCCTTGTAGACGCCCATTCATTGGCTCTCAATGTCCTTCGAGGCGTGCGGCTTCCACAGCACGGTCGTTACAATCAGTTCACCCCAGACAATGCAAACAACAGCAGTACAACCCTGCGCGCGCCTGGGATCGCCTTTAAGGTCGAGTATCGAAACGGAGGGCCCGATGATCAATCTCTCAATGCGGAAATGAAGATCGATGCATCTTCAAATATCTTGTATCCGACGGTTGTGCCTTTGATCATGGAAATTTCATCAAGTATCAAGGACGTCGTTGGAGACTCTGGCGTACAAGAACAGGCGGCCAAGCCTAGCCTCCCTCAGCCGAAGTTCCTTGGCGATGAGAGACTCCGCGGCGCAGATCCCGTTGCCATTTTTGGTAATTGCAAACTCAACTTGGGTCTTCGCATCTGCGGGCAGGAATTCAGCCTAAGCTGCCAGCCTATTGCACGTGTTGCAGCGACTGCACGTTTCGATGATATCTATATCACTGTCAATACTGTCCAGTCAAATGAGCACGGGAGATTCTTTACGGTGTCTGCTGCTTTTACTAGGCTACATGCATCTGTACAGCATGTCTACTCGCGAGAGTCGACCGGCAATTTCGAGGTCAATTCGATTGTCGTGTCTTTGATGAACAGCAAGCACGTTAGCAACGCCAATGGCATTTCTGCAATTCTCAACATCAGCCCGATGAAAGCACAGGTCAACGCGAAACAGTCACAGGACTTCTTGCTGTTCCGAGAAATATGGGTGCCTCCAGAGATCCGAAGATCTGCTTCCGCTGCTGCGCCGGTGCCGGCATCAGAATCTCAGGCCTTCATTGTGCAACGCTACCAGCACATCGCTGCGGCGGGTGCGTTCCCCTGGAACGCCACTGTCTCCATTGCTGAGCTCGACGTTCAGCTGGATCTGGGACAGTCGCTCGGTAAATCTGCTTTCATCATCACCGGCTTCTGGATCTCGTCCAAGAAGACGTCAGATTGGGAGCAGAATTTATGTATAGGGTTCGAAAAGGTGGCAATTAACAGCACTGGCAGAATGAGTGGCTTCGTCGAACTGCAAAATTTCAGGGTTCGCACATCAATACAATGGCCAATTGTAGAAAGGGCGCACAATCAGACGCCTTTGGTACAAGCTTCTCTGGCCTTTGATGGTCTGCGAGTCAAGGCTTCATTCGACTATCAGGTTTTCTTGATCGCAGATATCACTATTTTCGAGTTCCTCATGTACAACGTCAGGGACCTCCAGCACGTCGGCCGTGACAGACTGGTCGGCGTTCTTGATGGGAACAAAGTGCAGGTATTTTGCACCACGACCAGCGCTTCACAAGCCATTGCTTTATACCAAGCTTTTCAGCGACTATATCAGGAAAAGTTAACGGCGTATGAGACATCTCTTAGAGACATTGAGAAGTTCCTGCGTCGAAAATCTTCTATCAACCCATTGGCTATGCGTGCAGCTGTAAAGAGGCAAGGGGAGACTGGCGCAGAAGTCAACAGATCGCCCCTCCGGCTGCAAACCAATGTGGTAGTGACGCTCAAGTCAGTCAACATTGGAGCTTTCCCCAGCACCTTCGTCGACAGTCAAATCCTCAAATTGGAAGCGTTCGATGCTTCAGCTCGCTTTGCGGTTGTCCTAGAAGACGAAAAGATCCATTCCACCCTTGGCATGACACTGGGGCAACTTCGCGTCGCACTCGCGAACGTCACTCGGGCTAGCGTTCCGAAGATATTGGGTGAAGTCTCGATGGTAGACGTTGTGGCCTCTGCAACAAATTCGGGGGGTGGTACCATTCTAAAAGTGCCAAAAGTGGTAGCGAGTATGGAGACATGGCAGAGCCCTGAATCGACCCACATCGATTACATATTCAAAAGCTCTTTTCAAGGCAAGGTCGATGTGGGCTGGAACTACTCGCGGATTAGCTACATTCGAGGTATGTGGACCAGTCACGCCCGTTCATTGGCACAGCGCCTAGGGAAACCTCTACCACAGTCCGCTGTCCAAATAACAGGCGGACCTCGGCTCGAAGGAGAAGATGAAAGTCGGAGACCTGGTGAGGGCGAACAAGAGAAAATTACAGCAGTTGTCAATGTGCCTCAATCGAAGTATCAGTACACAGCTCTACAGCCACCTATCATTGAGACACCGCAGTTGAGGGATATGGGCGAAGCGACGCCACCGCTGGAGTGGATTGGACTTCATAGAGAGAGGTTACCAAACCTGACTCACCAGATAGTCATCGTGACACTTCTAGAAGTAGCCAAGGAAGTGGATGACGCTTACTCGAAAATTTTGGGCTCCTCGTAGCCCGCGTGAGTGGGTAAGAAAGCATTGATCAGGAGTCTTCAGTGTGTCCATCAGGAAAAAACAGAAAAAAAGAAGAAAAAAAGAAGAAAACAAGGGGTTCCTGGCCTTTGCTGGAGCGCAAGAAGAGTTTCTTGGAGTTTGAGCTCTCGCTTTTTGACCACTAGATAGATACCCCTGCATACAATAGCACTTTGTTTGTACCATAGCGGGACAATGTGGACAATCACATAGAATGAATGACCAACATTATAGAACCTTTACTTTGTTTCTCGCCCTATGACTCATGGGAACGGAGTAGTGTGACTGTCGAAGACAAATCCTACAGTTGAGTCTCATCTCTGACAATCCCGGCATGACTCTTTTCACTCTTTAAAGTACCTTAGTCTTTGCCTTCACTAGCGCACAAATATCAAGCGAGGGCGGGGCAAAATTTTAGTGTGAGCTTGTTAATCAAATTATCCCACAGTTACCTTCTTCAAAACCCCCCTCACCTTTCAACATCACCGCAAAATACATTCCCCAACTTTTACATCCTCTGCTTCCTCCGCCGAAGCTCTCGACGTTGTTCGAGATATTCAGCGCCACAGGTCGAGCGAGCCCTCGATCCTTCACAGCGGGGTAATACCTCATACACAAATATCGAAGCCGTTCAGAAGAAATCCGCCAAGATGGTCAAGTAAGTCGTTCCAAAACACGAAGTAGACAAAGGGAATCAAGATGCTCTCTCCACAGCCTTGTAAGCTGTTGGACTGCTGCAACGCTTCACCTGCAGCTTTGACGCGCAAAACTTCCATCAGATCTCTCCCACTTCCCATCAGCGTATCAGAACTTTATGGCTAACACTATAATTTACACAGCTTTACCGTGGAAGAGGTATACACAAAGTCGAGATTGTATAGCTGGGATCTTTGGCAGGATGGCTAACAGTTCCCAAGATCCGTGCGCTCATGGACAAGCCGGCAAATATCCGAAACATGTCGGTCATTGCCCATGGTAGGCCTCCATCTTCACGCTTTTTTGTTCAACTCTCCATTAACCACGCATTTTGATAGTCGACCACGGAAAATCCACCCTTACCGATTCCCTAGTCCAGCGCGCCGGTATTATCTCCGCCGCCAAAGCAGGGGAGCAGCGTTTTACGGATACCCGCAAGGATGAGCAGGATCGATGCATTACCATCAAGTCAACTGCCATCTCCCTTTACTCCCATATGGCCGATGAGGATGATCTAAAGGATATCCCTCAAAAGGTCGAGGGAAACGATTTCCTGATCAACTTGATTGATTCACCCGGCCACGTTGATTTCTCTTCTGAAGTTACTGCTGCTCTCCGTGTCACCGACGGTGCTCTCGTTGTGGTCGACTGTGTCGAAGGTGTGTGCGTCCAAACCGAGACCGTCCTTCGACAGGCCCTTGGTGAGCGTATCAAACCTGTTTGTATTGTCAACAAGGTCGACCGCGCCCTTCTTGAGCTCCAGGTCTCGAAAGAGGACTTGTACCAATCCTTTTCAAGAACCATCGAGTCCGTCAACGTGGTCATTTCCACATACTTTGACAAAGCACTTGGAGATGTTCAGGTCCAGCCGTATCAGGGCACTGTGGCTTTCGGGTCCGGTCTTCACGGATGGGGTTTCACTGTCCGCCAATTCGCCGTCAAATATGCCAAGAAATTCGGTGTGGACAAGTCCAAGATGATGGAGCGTCTATGGGTATGTATCAGACAGACCCTTCATATGGCCTCATGATGAAGCTAACGGTTACTACAGGGCGACAACTACTTCAACCCAAAGACCAAGAAATGGACCAAAGTTGGGGAGCACGAAGGCCAACCTCTAGAGCGTGCCTTCAATCAATTTATCCTGGACCCAATTTTTAAGATCTTCGGCGCTATCATGAACTTCAAGAAGGACGAGATCCCAACTCTGTTGGCGAAGCTCGAAATCAAGCTTTCTGGTGAAGAGAAAGATTTGGAGGGCAAGCAGCTTCTCAAAGTCGTCATGCGCAAATTCTTGCCTGCTGCAGACGCTCTCCTGGAGATGATGGTTATTCACCTGCCGTCTCCCGTGACTGCCCAGAAATACCGGGCGGCAACACTCTACGAAGGTCCTTCTGATGATGAGTCGTGTATTGGCATTCGAGACTGCGATCCCAAGGCCCCACTCATGCTTTACGTTTCAAAGATGGTTCCGACCTCTGACAAGGGTCGTTTCTATGCCTTTGGACGTGTTTTCTCCGGCACAGTGAGATCTGGCTTGAAAGTCCGTATCCAAGGCCCCAACTACATCCCTGGTAAAAAGGAGGACTTGTTCATTAAGGCCATTCAACGCACCATTCTCATGATGGGCCGCAACATTGAGCCAATTGAAGACGTTCCAGCTGGTAACATTCTTGGATTGGTCGGTGTAGACCAGTTCCTGCTCAAGTCTGGTACTCTCACAACATCGGAGACCGCCCACAACCTCAGAGTCATGAAGTTCTCTGTTTCACCTGTAGTGCAGCGATCCGTGGAAGTGAAGAACGCCAATGATCTGCCAAAGCTTGTGGAAGGTCTCAAGCGCCTTTCGAAGTCAGACCCCTGCGTCCTAGCCTTCATCAATGAGGCAGGTGAGCACATTGTGGCTGGTGCTGGAGAATTGCATCTGGAGATTTGCCTCAAAGATCTGGAAGAAGATCATGCCGGTATCCCTCTCCGTGTCTCAGATCCTGTCGTGTCCTACCGTGAATCTGTCGGTGGAGTTTCAAGTATGACAGCCTTATCGAAGTCGCCAAATAAGCACAATCGTCTGTATGTCACGGCACAGCCATTGGAGGAAGAGGTCTCCAGAGACATCGAGTCTGGCAAAATCAGTCCCCGTGACGATATCAAGGCTCGTGCTCGTGTTTTGGCCGATGACCATGGCTGGGACGTTACGGATGCACGAAAGATTTGGTGTTTCGGTCCTGAGACGACTGGCGCCAATTTGCTCGTTGATCAAACCAAAGCTGTGCAATACCTGAACGAAATCAAGGATTCCGTCGTCTCCGGCTTCCAATGGGCGACGAAAGAAGGTCCTGTTGCTGAGGAGCCTATGCGCTCGGTCCGTTTCAATATTATGGACGTCACACTACACGCTGACGCTATCCACCGTGGTGGTGGGCAGCTGATTCCTACTACCCGGCGTGTGCTATACGCTGCAGCTCTCCTTGCCGAGCCTGGTATCCTTGAGCCCGTTTACTTGGTTGAGATTCAGGTCCCCGAGCAAGCCATGGGCGGTATCTATGGTGTGCTTACCCGAAGACGAGGCCACGTCTTCTCAGAAGAGCAGCGACCCGGAACACCTCTTTTCAACGTCAAGGCCTACTTGCCCGTCAATGAATCTTTCGGCTTCACCGCTGACTTGCGCTCGCATACTGGTGGGCAGGCCTTCCCTCAATGTGTGTTCGACCATTGGCAGATCTTACCTGGTGGTTCGCCTCTTGATCCGTCCACAAAACCAGGTCAGATTGTGCAGACGATGCGAAAGAGAAAGGGTATCAAGGAAGTCGTGCCTGGTGTTGAGAACGTAAGTCAATCTCCAACCCTTGTCGACCACCTTCTGGCTAACGCTTTTTGGCAGTACTACGACAAGCTATAGAGAGCGCGCATCATGGGCCATACACTTAGATCAAAAGTCATATGCGCATATGCGTGAGCGTTTCCGCGCCCACATGAGATTCGCCATGGTTACGAATTCGAGGAAACGATTCATGTCAACGAGGAAGCGAACTGTGCTTTTGAGGTATTAGAGAAGTTGGAAGTTTTTGAATTTTCTTCGAGATTTGGTGCGAGAGTCCAGCTCATGCAGGAACAATGTATATAGCTTGGGCTTGAATTGAAAAGTCCGCATCAAATCTATGCTCTTGTCAATTCATGTACAGTCGACCTAGGCTATAACGATTCGCCACATAAAGAAATTCTGGTTGTAACGATTGCATAGCTATAAAAAAAAAATTTTTTGTTTAAAAAAAAAAAAAAATTTAACAAAAAAAAAAATAAAATTTTACCCAAAAATTTTAGTAATATCGTTATATCCAATGGCCTTAAACAATGTATTCTCGCCATCGTCGCCGCCATTAAGATAGGATTTCAATGGTCCCCGGGAACCTACCCCCCCCCCCCCCAAAAACAAAAAAAAAAAACGGGGGGGAAAAAAAAAACGGAACACGATAAGATCTACGTCTTATACAATGCGACTGAATTAGATAGAAAGCGTAAGATAGAAGCGCTTTAGACTTAGTTCTTAGAGAAATATAATTATTAATTAAATTAATCTACGATCTTTAAGAGCTTATTAGCTAAATTTTAACGACTAGATAGCGAAATCTCTTATTTTAATTAAAAGAAATAGCGCGTATATAAGTAGTCGAATCTAGAAAATATATTATTCGATTAATAATAGCGATAGTAGAAAAAGAAGGTTATAATTATTAAAGAGATTCTTAAGAAGATAATCTTAATATTCTAAAATAAGCTTTTCTAATATAACGACGAATCGTAATCTCGCTTTTTTATTAGTTAATTAAATATATTTAAAACTAGATATAAGATTAAGAAGTTTTATTATTATAGCGAATTTAGAGCGATAGATCGCGTAGTTATCGAAGAAGAGCTTATAAAGTTATATAAAAATTTAAAAGATATAAAGCTTAAGAATATCTTTAATATAAATAAGATAGATCTCTTCTAGAAAATAAGCCTTAACGATACGCTAATAACTAAGTAGACTATTAGCGATAAGTATAAGAAGACTTAAATTATAGCGAATTTCTATTATAATATAACGGAAAGTAGAAAGCTAAAGCTATAATTTATTAAAAAGATAAAGATATTATAATTCTTTAATAACGCTAATATAAAAGTCGAGAATCTCGCTATAATTTAAAGATTTAATAGAATAGTATAAATAACTAAGATAATCTTTAAGAAGTATATACTATAGTTCGATAATTAAATCGAGAATAGAAAGGTTATTCTACTTATCGATAGATTTTTAATTTATAAAATAAGCTTAAATCTTCTACTTAAGATACGTTCTACTAGTTTATAAAATACTACTATTATTTTTCTTTCTATTAATATAATATCTATTTATTAATCTCTAAATTAAGATATTATTCGTATTTAGAAAGTATATTATAGAAAGAGATAGCTAAGCTATATATATTTAAAATACGATATAAATAGAGACTTAATTATCTCGATAAATATTCTATAAGTTATACGATAGAGAATCGCCGTCTAAGAGAAAGATATAACGTCTATTATAATATATAATTACTAAGTAAAAGCGCGAATTCTTAATTCTAAATATAATCTTATAATTAAGTATATTATAAGAGCTATAGACTAGATTAAAAAAGTTATATAGAATACTAAGATTTATAATAATATATTATCTTAAATAAATAAGCGAATTTAGACTTTAGCTTTCTAGAAAAAGATTAAATTAATAATATATATAGCTCGTTTTCTAAATTCTATTAATAAGAATATAGTTAATAAAGATAAGAATATTATAAATTTAATTATAGCTATCTATAGTTATAAAGAACGAGCTTATAAGACTAATAAAGAGAATATTTCGATATCTTATATTAAGAATTTAAAGACTTTAAAGCTATTAAAACGTCTATAATTATATAAGAAATAATAAAACGACGGCGATAATATATTAATTATACGTCTAAATCGATATAAGAGAGAGATTAAGGCTTATAAGACTTCTACGTAAAAGTAGATATCGATTTAAACGTATTTTAATAGTAATTAATATAAATCTAGACTTAACGATAATTTAATTATAACGATACTATCTTTATAAAACGATATATCGTTATAGCCTAGATAGACTATATTTATATTATACGTATAGTTCGATATTCTTCACAGAGACAGCTAAACATAGCGATAAAAGCAGTATACCCCTATATTCTTACGGCGAAAAACGGCTGACACTACGACAAAACTACTTTTTTTTTCTTATTCTATTTTTCTTCTTCGCGATTTCTAGTAACTCTTTTATAAATATTCTTTTTAGAATATTCTTAACTTTTCGAGAGGTACTTTTAAAGATATTCTTTAGAGATTACTCTTCGAAGTACTCTTTCGAATACTCTTTCGGATACTCTTCGAAGTACTCTTTCGAATACTCTTTCGGATACTCTTTTAGATACTCTCTCGAATACTTATAACGAATAATAATTAATACTATAATCGAATATTTTATAAAGTTCTTCACAATAAAAAAAACAATAAAATTATTCTATAGGACTTTCCGCGGAATTTCCCGCGATTTTTTTTTTTCGAGTATTTCTTCGAGTAATTAGCTCGAGTAAATCTTTAAGAAATCTCTTAAATAACTCTCTAAGTACTCTTTAAAATATTCTTCTTAAGTATTTTCTAAAGTATATTATTAAATAATCTCTTAAATCCTTCTTAAATATTCTTTAAAGAATTCTCTAAAGTATCTCTTTAAAATATCTTTTAAAAAAATCTCTTTAAGTATCTCTTCAAAGTCATGAGAAAAAAATTTAAATTTAAGAGAAGAAATTAATTTTAATTTTATTATAGTATTAGTCGTTATTCGTTATTATTCGTTATAATTCTTAATTATTAAAAAATAAATAAGTTCTCGTAAGTATTCTTTATCGAAATGTGGCCCCCGCGTATCTCAGCTACCATATTTTTGGCCCCCGCGTATCCCAGCCACTATGTTTTTAGCCTCCGCTGATATGGAATTCAGCCTTATAAGGCTTAGCATAAAGGCTTGACATGCGAGTATATTAGCAAGTAGATTTCATTAGCTAGAGAATTAATTTACCTATATATATAGCTTTTATAGTATACTTTTATATTAATAATAGTAATATTAAATTAAGTATAAGTAAGTATTAACTTATCTACTTACTACGCTTTCTTTATTTAATAATTATAAGTTCTTAATAACGAGTTAAGAAATTAATCTTACTAGATTTATTTCTTTAATTAATTAAAGCTTCTACTCCGCTATAGTAATAGACTTTCTACGAAGTTAGATTATCTTATTAATATTACTAGTCTTTAATTAGATAAATAAAATTACTATCGAGTTACGAAAATAATTTTATGAATACTATATTACTAGAAGGCTTATTTTCAATAATTACGTCGTATTAAGAAACTTATTTTCAACGTTATTTAGAAACTCGGATTTTCAAGCTATGTCTTTCGAAAAGGTCTTTAAAGAGATTATTATCTCAGTTCTCGAGCTTCTTAAATAGCTATATCGACGTTATCGATTACTAAGATTTAAGCTAGCTTCTTAATTAGTTAAAGATCTTATTAATATTAATTATTAAATTTACAGATTTCTTTTAATTATAAGCTAAACTTATTAATATAAGATTTTTAAGATCGTTAGCTATACTATTAACTATATTATTAATAACTATTTAAAATTAAAATCAAGACTAGCGCCGAGATCGTTAAAATAAATAAAAACGTCTTTAATAAAATCTTCTATCTTCTTATATAACTAATCGATAGATCTATTTATCTTTTATAGAGCTATTAAAGTATTTAATAATTAAATTTATAATCTTCGAAGTAAGTTAAAGATTACGTAATATCTTAGAAGTAGAGATTCTTCTTTTACGAGAATAACGCCTTATAATTCTTCGATAACTATATTATTAATAACTTCGAATTCTTTAGAAAATACTGATTTCTTCACTAAAATAATTTTTATAGAGAAAGAGATCTATAATAATTTAATTAATTCGAAATTTTTATTAAATATAACTTAGTAGATAATCTCGTAATAGCTATAAGACTTTATTATTAATATTATTAACGTAGTAGTTCGAACTCTTAACTTATCGCTAGAATCTTTAAAATCTTTAAAACCCTCGAGAAATAATAATTCTATTATTAAAGCAGAAATTAAAAGTTAGCTTAAATAGAATCTCGGCGAATTAGAATTCTTTAATCTTAATTATAACGAAAAATTCGTTAGTATAAAATCGCTAATCGAGTATATCGATAAGAAAACGTATTTTCTAGAATATATATCTATTCGTTAAGCGAGCTAAGAATCTTATTATTATTAAAGAATTACTTATCTAAGAAAATCTTTAAATAAGTCTATAAGATATCACTCTCGAATAATAAATCGTAGAACTTTTAAATATTAAGAAACGCCTTATAAAGTATAATAATTCGAATTTCGATATCTCGAAATAGAGTTAGCTACTTATCTCAAGATTTAAGAAATCTTCTAATATTATTATTAATGTTATACTATGAGAATAATATACTTTAAGAAATATAAACTCTTATCGCGAATCTCGCGAATATATTTAAAAGATCTTAAGATTAACTAAGAATATTAATATAGTTCTTATTAAGAATTAACTCGATATTATTTATAATAATCTCGATCTAAAGCTTTATCGAGACGTTAAGAAACTCGATAAGAATATTACTATTAATATATTTTTAATAAGTCTTAACGAGTATAAGTACGAATAATAGATATATATAAGTAGATATAATAAAAGAAGTATTAGATCTATTATATAAACTAGTTAATAATAGACTTAATCTACTAATAATAGAAATAACTATAATTAATTTTAATTCTAATAGTAAAAATCTAAATTTAGATAATAATCGTATTATAATCGCTAATTTTATTAGTCTTACTTATCTTTCTCTTATTAATTTAATAATTTAAATATTTATTAATTATAGTAGTAGTACGATTAATTATTAAATTAATAATCTCGTTAATAAGAGCTATTTATATCTTATTAATCTTTATAAATTATATCTTCTTTAAATTTAAACGCGTTAGATTTAACGCTATTAAATTATTTATAAAATAACGAATTTCTAAAAAGAGAGAATTAAAGAAATTAAGAATTTTAAAGATTATAGTAATAATAAAATAATAATTATAGCGAATATTATTAGAAAGTCTATTAAGCTTTAATTAATAAGAATAACGAAGATTTATTATCTTAAGAAAATAAGTATAATAAGAGTTAGAAAATATATTATATCGAGTATAAGAAAATAGTTAAATCGAATTCTTAAGAAAATAGTAAGCTTAAATTCTTTAAATCTTTCGACTTTATAAGCTATTTTACGAAGGCTATATCGATAATTTATATTTATTATTAATATTTAAAAGGCTTTTTCTTTAGAAATATACTATTTCGTTATCTTAAGAAAATATAAAAAAACCTCTTAATATATACTTTAAAAGCTTTTAAAATTATCGAAGATTTAGAAATCGCTAAATAGATTCTATTAGCAACTTCGTAAGTATTATTAAAATTAAAAAAAGTAATTAAATTCTTAAGTAGAGAATTAACCGCTATATCGAAATATACTTTTCGAGAATATTACTATATTATTATTAATCTAAAATTAACGCCAAATTTCTAAGAATCTATATCGAGTTATACGAATTCTAAAGTAGATATTACTCTTATAAATTAAGTTTAATATTAGAAGTTCTTTCTAAATATTAAGATATTAAAGATAGTTTTCTTTATACGCGTTAGAGGTTTTAAAAATATTATATATAATATCGATAAGTTTATTATAATAATAATATACGCGAAAAAAAGCTATTTAATAACTCTTAAATATTTATAAAAATAATTATAAAAGCTTATATAGTCGATAACTTAAAGATTAATATATTAATTAATAATAATATTCTTATATTATAGAAAATTAAACTTAATTCTATAAGCGAAAAAATAATTATTAATATCTATTAAGATCTTATCGCTAAGATCGAAGTTATTATTAATATTATAAGCGTATTCTTAATATATTACTTAGCTCTATAACTAGCGAGCCTTAGCGAAGATATCCTCTACTATATTATATCTTCTTTTCATCTATATAGTTCGATAGCCTTATTATTCTAGTTCTATCTTACTTATACTAGTATTATATCTATACTAGTTCTAATATTATAATAAAGCTCCTTTATACCCTCACTCGACGAAGAGAATTAATAGATTTTTTACTTTCTACTCGAAGTAAGCGACCGAGTCTAATAAAGAAAACGCTAGATATTTCTATCATATAGAAGTCTTACTATATATTCAAATTATAAGATATCTATATTATTCGAAAGAACCTATATTAAATAATCTATATTATTAACGATAGTCTAATTCATTAAAAAAACGAGCTCCCTACATCGAATATAAGAAATCCTTCTCCGCTCCGTTCCTCGCAAAAAGTTTATCACCGATTAATAGACCCTCGACGAACTTTCTATTATTCGAAAGAATACTATTTAAAGTACTTATTATATTTACGACGATCTAATTAGTTAAGAAACGAGTGTTATAGACTTCTATAAAGAAATAATATTATTTTAAACGTTATACTCTTAATATAGAGATCTATTATATTTCTCGACTTACTACCACCTTTATAATATCGAAATTTCAGAGATCTCTTTACTTCGTTCTTATCTATATTTAATATATTATAAGTTTCTTAAATTCTTACTTAATTTCATCTATATTAACATTAAGATATCGCTCTTTATATCGCCGATTATCTATATACCGCGATTAGCTTTATCTTATATACGACGATCTTATCTACTATAAAGTAGTAGAGGTTAATAAGAAAGACGAATATTATACGAAAATTCGTAACGCTATCGCCGAAGATAAGAATAAGTTTTAAGGGATTACTCTTAATAAGTACTTTATATAAGATAAGATACTTTATTATAAGAATAGTTTATGAATATTCGATAACATATATATCGATATTATTCGAGAGGTATATAATTAATCGTTCTACGGCCATTTCGGAGTAGCACGTATTTATAAACTACTTAAAAGGGAATACTATTAACGAGGAATAAGGACGATAGTAGCCACCTACATTCAGAATTGCTACACCTGTCAGAGGACTAAGGCACCTCGCGACCGTCGACATGAGAATACTCCCTCTAGACCACGATCTCCTACACACCGTGGCCAGCCTTATCTTACTTACGAAGACCTACATAGAAGATATTCACCTCCTAACTCGCCGTCACTCCACATGCCACGGGTGCAGCGTTCTCTATCTGCTGAGGACCTTTATCAGCGATATCATAGAACACCGACTGGCATCTCCGCTCCGCCTCCTTCCCCATTCCACATTAATCAAGAGGAGACGCAGGGCCAAAACTCGCCTGGCATCTCTGCTCCGCCTCCGTCCCCACTATTATCCACTCTACGAGATTTCGAGACACTAAGAGTATATCGATATCGATTAATCTCTTTATAGCTAGTTAGATAGCCACTTAGCCTAAGGCTATTAGATCTATCTATCTTTATAAATACTAATTTAATATTATTCGATAATTGAAAAATAAGAATTCAAGATAAGCTTACTTATAATGATGATTATTTTCTTATCGATATCTTTAAAATTATCTACGTTATAGCGAGACTTAAAGAGAAAGCTAGTTAGCACGTATCTATTAGACGACGATATCGCTTATACTCTATAGTCGATAATCTTCTAAATTATTTAAGCAACGTGTATAAGGTACTCTTATTTATTCTTAGAATAATCTATTAATATGCTTATAATAAAATAAGTTAAGAAAGTTAATTATTTCTTAAATTCTACGATAATCTTATTAAGTATATCGAATATAATTTTAGAAATAATAGTCTTAACGATCTTAGAAATAATAGTCTAATAAACGATATATAAAAGAAGTCGAAACTTCGTTTATATAACTTAATTAATCTATTAATAAGAAATTAAACTATATTTAAATTAAAGAAATATATTATAAGAATATAGCTTTAATATTAATAATCTATTAAGAGATTCGCCGAAAAGAAGATTAAAAGATTCGCGAAGTAATATATAAAAGTAAAGATCGAGACTAATATAAAGAAGGAATACTCGATTATAACTCGCCTTACTTTTAATATATAGAGTTTAAATCTTATTAAGATAGAGAATCTTATAGATAAAAACTAGGCTTATATATAAAAGTATAATAAATACTTCGAACTCGATATAAATTTCGACGAAGTATACGAGCTTAGTTACTAGAACTTTCTATAAACTTAAGATTAATATACGACTCGATAATAGCCTTATTTTTTATATTCGCAAAATCGATTTCTTAGATTTATATTACTTAATAACTATCTTATATTAGACTTATCAAGTAGATTCCCCTTATTATTATATATCTAAAGAGCTTTCGAAGCTATAGTACGTTATCTACGTACCTCACTATTATTATTAATAGTCTTAATCGATATCGACTATATAACGCCTTATAAAGAAACTCATATCGAAATTATTTAATATTAATTTAGAGTTTTAGCGCCTACGGCTTAGTTCGACTCGAGATCTATTTACTAATTATATCGTATTATTTTATTAATATTCTTTACGCTAAAATATTAACTCGAGAGTTATTATAAATAACTAAAATAATTATTATTATTATCTGAGTATATAGTTACTTATATAATGAGACTTATTACTAGATATAATAGTCTTAATAATATCTATATCTAAAGAAGAAGAACTCTATGTATAAGAAGATAGCCTTTATATATCAATGTACTAGGCTGAATAAGTACTAGTGGTAGCGAGTGTTAAGTTACCGACACTGGTAAAAACCGAAAAAGATGAGGCTATTCGCATGCTATCAAAACATTACTTCTTCGAATCCTTCTCCACAATGCTCTCCATAGCTGCAATCCCTCCCTTTGCTATGGGCGTAGATCCAGTCATACTAGGCGTATTTCTAATAGCGATAAGAGAAAGATGGACCCTCATGATTAAATCCCTGGACAGCTACATCAAGAATGCACCGTCCATATACTCCATTCACCTATCCTTGGCCTGTAGCCTTCCGCCTCTCCGTATCACGAATGTAGCTGAGCGGAGAGGCGAGTTAAGAGGCGAGAAAATGAGCATGCTGGGAGGCGAAAGGTGGAGCGAGAAAATGAGCATGCTGAGAGGCGAAAGGTGGACCGAGATTGCTGAGCGAGAAAGTAGGCTCTTTGAGAGTCGATATGGTGCGTGGACGTGAAACCGCAGAGAGTTGGCTCGTGTTGACAGGGCTGCTGTCTTGAATGACTTGGTAGGGCGAGGGTAGTAGGTGTGGGACTCGGTAATTTGGGCCATAGTTTGGGGTTGGGGGGAGAATCGGAGTAGGATTCTCTGGTTGATAAGGCGGTTGCGGGGGGAGAGGAATAGTGTTCTCCGGTCGATAAGGCTGTTGTTCCTGTATTGACTGCATTGGCTGTTGTTGAGGCTGACGTGGAGAGCCGTCGCTTGGAGTGGGGGAGGCTGACGTGAAAGGCCGTCGCTTAGAGTGAGGGGAGGGTGGACTGAAGTGATATCCTCGACAATTGGAGTGGGGGGAGGATGGACTGGAGTGGTATCCTCGACAATTGAAGTGGGGGGAGGATGGACTGGAGTGGTATCCTCGACAATTGGAGTGGGGGAGGGTGGACTGAAGTGGTATCCTCGACAATTGGTTGGTAGGGCTGCTGTGGCTGAACTGGCTGTTGCGGCGGGAGAGGAACAGTGTTCTCCGGTTGATAGGGCTGATGATAAGCCGGCTGTTGCTGAGGATAGTAATGAGATGGTTTTGGTGGGGGACGGTCTTCGTCGTCTGGTGGCCATGGGATCTCTTCCTTGATTACGTCCGCTAATTCTTTGGCCATCGAGAGTCCTCTTCCTTTCTTGACATATGCTCCATTGGCCCGTAGGCAATTAGTCTCAGTAATTCAGACTCACGGCTAGCCGGGGTACCTATGGCCAGCCCTACACTCGTGCCTCGCTTCGGGGGCCAATCATATCGCAAGCTCATTACGGTATACCCCTCCCTTAGAGTCTAAGTAGAAAATCCCCGAATCGCTATATAAACCGTTAATTTATATGGGCTCACCGTAATAATCACCCCGTTATCGGGAAATCGCGACTTTCTTTATTTTTCCAGCCATTACCACATTATCTTCTAACATCAATTGAGGGGCCAATAGACCTTTCGTAGTCGCTGAACAAGTATATAAACTTTTTATTATGATCGAATAGCTCGTTGTTGTCGCATAAGCTCATCCGAACACGCGTTCTCCGCTGACGGTTACAGCACCTACCTTCAGCCGATCACCCTTCGATAATTAAATTCTAGACGATAGCGTATCGTATTCAGTATTATTAAAAGATCATATAACGAGTCGGGTGTAATAATTGGATTACAAGTTTGATTATGTTACTATCTAATGAAAATCGAGTATTAAAGCTATCCCCTCTATATATATATCTATTAACTCGAAGATATATTACTTAGAAGTTAAAGGGAGTATAAAATATATATCTTAAATAATTTTAACGCGCTTAACGCGTTTAAAACGGATTTAGACGAATAAGGAGATTATAAGAGACGCTTAGATACGCAATTTTCTCTTCGATAACGATAGCGAGGTATTTTCGAATTATATATACTAACCTCTTTATAGTTTATAAACACGTCCTTTCTTCTAACGAATACGAAGTTTTAAGATATTTAGCGGACCAGTTCTAAAGAAAAGAAAAAAAGTTATATATTTAATATCCGGGTATAAAAGTAGAGAGGAGAATATTTTAACGTTCATAACGACGACGCAGACCTTCCTACATTCAAAGACGTCTTTTTCTACATTTTATATACTTATAAGAGACTCCAACGCCGTGCGAGATATTCTTATTCATCGATATCGCCATCATCAATATCTGACTTTACATTAAAAGGATAAATTATCTCCGCTTCGCTCTCCGCTCTACTCTCCGCAAGTTCGACCGCAATTGCTTCCATACATACATACTTACTTACTTATTTATTTACACGCATCGCCGGTCGTCTAAAAAATGAGGGGAGACTGCGGCATCTAATCGAAGTAATGAACTGATTGGCGAGGCTACGGCATTTTCCCCAACACGCCGTATCGTCGGTCCGGCGAGTACTATAGCGATTACCTCGACAATATATACTTTAAGGGAATTCTTATATGGTGTCGCGTTTGTTGAGACGTACAGCGTTCTTGAGTATTGGTGCCGCTGCTATGGCTGAGTTAGCTGAGTTTTTCAGTGGAATGAAATTGGAAGCCTACTTCTTAATTACTATACTACAGCTCTTAATTTAACGAGGGCCTATTTAACTATATTATTCGACTTTTTTCAAGAATTCCAAAAAAGGCCATATCACGTAGATGCGCATTTTTATTAAGGATCATATGTACGTAGGGTGTGAATTTTATATATCGGGCGATACACCAAAAAATTAAGTCTTAGCAGGGTTTCCTACTCAGACCCACCTCAAGGCCGGTGGGGCCAAGCTGAGACTAGTAGGCAATCTCGTAGGGTGGTAATGACGTCCTTATCAAGAACCTCGAAGTCCTCTCTGACGTATTGGGCAAAGTCGTCAGCAAAGACGTCAGAGAGTGTCGTAAATTTGTGTCTTGTGTATTGTTGTACCCTCCAACGGACGAACTCCTAGAGCTCCTCTTTGATGTCTGGTGGCTTGGCTCCTAGTAGTTCCTCCAACTCACGCTTGGTGCCTGGCGGTGTCTCTGAAGAATCAGGTTTCTTGTCCTTGGAGTCCATTTTGGGTGTGTGTTATGTGTTAATGTGGTGTGAAGCTTAATAGTATTTGATGTTTTCTGGGTGTTTTCTCTACTGGGTAGGAGTTATAGGAATTATAGAAATTGTAGTCCTATTTAATCGAATCGTTATAATGAGCGGAATCGATTGAGTAACATAGAACCGTGTGAAGTACCGCGACGATATCGAAACGGACTTTCTTCAGAGTATAGCCTTACTAATCTGTGTACTAGTATTAAAGTATACTAATTAGTATTGATAATATCTAGATATATAGTTACTTATATAATAAGATCTATTATTAGATGTAATAGTCTTAATAATATCTATATCTAAAGAAGAAGAACTCTATATATAAGAAGACAGCCTTTATATATTAATATACTAGGTCGAATAAGTACTAGTGATAGCGTATATTGAGTTACCGACAATAACCATGATTATTACTTACGCATTCTTCCATCGATTTCTATCAAACTAGGCTCTTTATGCTCGCTACACCTCTAGCTAGCGACGAGGCCAATACGGGAATTTATGTAAAGCCTGGTAATGTTGCTATCGCCGCTGGGGAAGAATGCCACATCAAAAGTTCTTTATTTTTATGGATTCATGCGATAGAATTATTCAATTCTTTCGAAGGCCTATGGCAAGCAGGCTGGACGGAAGAAGGACTTGGAGAATCTTGCTGGTACGCAGGTAAGATATAGTTATATCTCCAGGATCTCAATCCTCTCTAGTCAAGGCCTACACGGACCATGGATGTTTGGAGATATAAGGCAAGCAATGGGCCTGCATCTCCGGTCTACCAGCTATGGGGGCCATGGCTCTTTGAGAGGGGGGTAGTGTTACGAGCGTACCCTTGACACACCACTCAGCCCTATAGCTAGCGGGCCTTGGCAGGAGGTATCCCCTACTATATCATACCTCCTTTCCACCTATATAGTTCGGTAGTTAATGTCAGAATCAGTATAGGTGCGATATTAATATAAGTGAGGTAGATAGGATAATAAGGCTATCGAACTATATAGGTGGGAAGGAGGTATGATATAGTAGGAGATGCCTTCTGCCAAGGCCCGCTAGCTATAGGGCTGAGTAGTATATCAAGGATACGCTCGTAACAATTAAGAAACACGGGGGTGTCAGAAGTCATTACCCCCGGGGTTTACCCGGCTACTATTAGCTTTCTATCAAATACATATATTTCTACCTCTTAAATATATATATTTCTACTATAACTTAGACTTAATAAGCTTAATATAATTACCCTCTCGTAATATTCTATATTATTAAAGTATTTTAATAATTTAGATCTAAATTTTATTAAGTTCGATTCGATCTTATTTCTTCTAAATTATTATACGATATTTATATTAATTATTTTATTATTATTAATAAATCTATTTATTTAGAAGATTCTAAATAATTTTAATTAGATTAAGATTAGATAATTATATAAGATATTCTAAAGTCTTAATTTAATTATCGAATTTTAGCTATATAGCGATATTTTTCATATTAATCTTAATATTCTTCTTACTTCGAATTATTTTATAACTTAAATTATCGTCTTTCTATAGAATATTATAATTATATCTAATTTATAATTAATTTATACTCTAATAATAGTTTAAAAGCTAATATTTAATATAATACTCTATTATTATACTATTTTCAATTAACTAAATATTAAAACTATAGAAAAAATTCGCTTTCTACTAACGAATACGCTTTTAATATTCTTCTTTATTATTATTCTTTAAATAATAACGTAGTTTTAAAGGTTTTTTAATTATAATTCGAGATTAATCGAGCTCGTTATAATAGAATTATAGTTTATCTTTATAATATTATAAGATATTCGCGAATATATAAATTAAGATATCTTACTTTAAAGATATAGACTATATATTTTAAGAGTTTTTAGCGATATTAGCGTTTTAAAATATATGATTTTATTATATAAATCTAATATTCTAATACTTTTTATCTATTTATATAATAAAATATTAAAAATCATCTATTATATAATACTCTTAATTATATTTATATTTATATTCTAGCCTTTTCTTTATATTTAACTTCGAGACTTTTTTAGCTAACTATTATTTATATATCTAAGTATTCTAAATATACTTAAAAGCGTATTATTATAGCGTATAAAAGATAATTAAAATAGTATAATATTAAAGTTAATATTTAAATTTTTAATTATATATAAAATTATTAACGCCGCGTAGAGTATTATATATAGATTAATTAATCTTAAAAGAATATTTAAAACGCTATTTTTTATATTATCTAATATCGAGAAAGTCTAAATACTATCTTATTTTTATTTAATATTTACTCGTATTATATATAATATTCTTTTCTATATATATATCTTTTATTATTTTTTCGCTATTCTTTCGAATATTAATAGCTTTATAGAATTTAACTTTCTTA